AGCTTGGAAACATATGTCCTACCCTTGATCTAACAATATCTCTTTATCTCCATCCAAAGGATCTGTCAATATCACATTACATGATCCTGCTCCACTGACTATACCCAGTTGGACCAGAGGTGAACATCTGAACCAAGCGTGGCCATTCAGATTCTTTCTTCTAGGATTTTGAAATTAGTCTTCTCAGAGACAAAAATCTGAGAGAGACAAAAAGAGATAGTCTTAATTTTTATTTCTTGCTATCCCTCTGTTCTATAATCCATTCTATATCCTTATTTTTTTAATTCTCCTTTTTCTTTGAGTGATATTGATTTGATTTCTGATCTTTGCAACAGAGAACCTAACCACCACTACAGCATATGAGACTTACTCTTTGCTTTTAATGTTAAAAGAATTACAGGCTTTTTAAAGGTGTTTCTCTATGTAGTGCCCTTAAGTAAATTAACTCTTTAACAACCATTTAGGGGTTTCTTCTATCTTTGTCTTCACCTTAGGTGTAACAATGTTTTCTTTTCATGGAAAATAGAGTTTATTTTTCTAACCACAAAATAAATACTTAACAAATTTATATAATATAAAAATGTAGAAAGTTAGAAAAAGAGAAAGTTTCCTCTCTCCATCTGTTTTCGCCCTCTAAAGTAATATAGAGGTTTATAGTTTGCTCTGTGTTCTTACATAATGTTTATGATCATACATTTATGTGGTTGTGAGTTTCTTTTACAAAAGTAGCATATTCTTGTATGAATTGCAAGGTTTTTTTCCACTTAAAAATAGAACATAAACATTGTCATTCCTTATTCCCATAGATCATTTTTTGCTTTTTCTCTCTGGCCTGCTCTGTGCTCCAGCGGGCTGACTCTTACGGACTGCCTCACTCAGGCTCCCTTGCTCGGATTGTGTTCAGCTGATGGGAGAGACCAGCAAGAGATCAGAGCATGAGGACAGAAGTCAGTGTATTCCTTCCCTGCTTTCCCCACTTCAGCTCCGTCTTTTGCAGTAACTGTATCCCTCTTTGACTACAGCTCCACTGAGTGGCCCTGATTCTGTGGTTCCAAGTTTCACTAGGCTCCAGTTAATGTATGTCCTCTCCCTTAATGTATGTCCTTCAACCCTAGGAACGGTAATAGCTTTCCTCCTTTGCTGATCTGTAGGCATTTCCCCATTTCTTCTTTGTTGGCATAACACCGCTCAACCCCTTGTAAGTAAACTTTTCCTTAAGATCTCTTTACTTGAAACATCTGGAGAGAGCTCTTTTCCCTGCCAGGACCTTCTCTTATACACATTTTTCCAAGGTGAGACTCGTAGCTGTCACAACATATTGACAGATCTCGATTTATTTATCAATTCCTTTATTGATGGGCATTTATCATATTTCAACTGAATTGTTGAAATATGGTGCAGTGAACATCCTTATATGTGGGTATGTGTATGTGTGTGTATATACTTGGGAAGTATTGCTTTAGGAGAGAGTCTTAAAATTGGAATTGCTGGAACAAAAGGCATATGTAGGTTGAATTTGATAAATATTTTCTCTCCCTCCTGCGCAGAGAGTCAACAATTTATTCTCCCTAGAATATACTTACATCTAATGAGCAACAAACAAGCTATTGCTACGATAAATGAAAAAGTAAGGCTCTAGTAAAACATGCATGTTAAACCATTAATCCAAAAGAAATCATGGATCTTTTTAACTTAAAAATAAGTCTTTATAAAAGAGTTTCTGAATCCTACAGCTATTCAGACAATGTAATCCTTCAATCAGCTTTATTTCAAGGAAAGAGAACAATTTCTGACTGTTTCAACTAATCTGACCAGAAAAAGTTCCAGTAGCCTCTAAGTGCATTAGATTAAGCACATGATTAAGAATAAAATCCCAAGAACATTCTGATGGTAAGTTTCAGAGTACATTCACATAATATACAACTTCAATTTGGGGCCCAGATACCAAGATGTTTTTTCTCATATTCTAGGTTTAAGTTTATAAGGTTTAATATCTCAAAAACAGAGATAGGTTCAAGGAGGCAAGACAGAGATGTTCATTGAGAACTGTATATAATAAATTAATAATCTAAATTTCCATCAGTAGGGAAATGGCTAGTTAAACTGTAGTATATCCATACTATGGAATACTATGCTGCAGTTTTAAAATGCGCTTCCTTGATTAATAGTGAAGTTGAGCACTTTTCATGTTTACAGTGGTTTGTGGCGGGGGGAGGGGAGTCCCTTTTTTGCCCATATCCTCCTATATGGATTATCTGCTCATATCTTTGCCTACATTCCTACTGTATTGCCTTTTTTCTTATCCACATTTAGATGGGTTACTATGATATGGATACTAATTCTTGTTATGTATGTAGCAAATATTTCCTACCATTCAAAGCACCATAAGTAAAATTAAAGCAAATATTTCCTACCATTTGCTTTAATTTTACTTATGGTGCTTTGTAGTCCTAACATCATGTAACCAAATTATCAATCTATCAATATACGTTTTTGCATTTTTCTGTCTTCTAATAATAATAATAATAGAGTCTTCTAGCTTCTTAATATCACTTCCATTAATATCTGTGAATGGTAAGAAGTAGAAATCTAATATCTTCTTTCAAATGGAAAACTAACTATCCCAACATCTTTCCTAGAAGCCCCATCTTCTTGTCTTTCATGGACTTTGGTTACATCCATCTCTAAACTAGTTACTGTGGACAGGGTGACTGGATATGCTGATGGGCTTAAGTCAATCAAGGCAGCAACGGGAGCCAAAAATGGGGTCAGTTCCTCACAACACACTTTAATAAAGCTGAGTGAATGAGGAATGATATTCAAAATGGCTTTTGGGAAACTATTCCCAGTAGAAAGTGCAATAAAGGCTGGCAGAAAAAAAAAAAAGGATGTCTACTGCACAATCTTATGACTTACGAAGTCCCCATATTTCTATTAATTTATTCATTCTTATATCCATATCGTATTGTTTAAATTACCAAAGTCTGTGATATGCATTATAGCAGCTCATCATATCAGATAGTGAAGAGGCTATCAAAGACAATTAGGGACCTGGGAGGCAGTTTTGGCCACGATGGGACAATTTGAGCATCACTAAGGGCAATAATTGCAATGAATTGAAACTCATCAAACATTTGGAATCATGAGTTCATAATGGTATAAAAAATCTAGAAAACAAAAACAAAAATAAAAAACCCCAACTAACTGGTCACCTTTGGAGGATAGAAGAAAACTAATTCAATATCCCCAAAACAGGTAAATAAAAAGACAGGACAAGCATTTATTCTGCCTTTCCTATATGAACTGTATGCTGGATGCAAGCAAGAGCTATAATAGGAAATGTTTGTACAACTCTGCGAATACACTAAAACTATTGAGTTATACTCATTAAATAAGTGAATTGTGTGGTATGTGATTATATCTCTATAAAGTAGTTCAAGAAAGTCAAGAAAGTAGTTACTTTGGGGGAAAGGAGGGGTTTGAGACAGGGATTGGACACATAGAGGGGTTTCTGGGGTAGCTGATTAGGTTCTATTTCTTGACCTGGGTGGTGGTTAGAAACATGTTCTCATTATAATCATTTGTTTTGTGCAGTTTTCTAATTTGTGTTTTATTTTTCAGTAAAAAGTTAAGTGAAATAGTTAATGTTGAAAGCATGGGTTTAAAGAGGGAACACAGGGCTAATTTTTCAGTGTGCCTCTCTGAGCTGTGGGCCCGCCCCACTGACAGGCTGTCTCAGACAGCAGTGCAGGTTTGGCTTCAGCTAAAGATTGTGGGGTGTTCTAGGAAGTCTATTGTGGTTCAGTGGGTTAATGGCCTCCAGACTCAGGTCTGTGGTAGATGTGGACTCCACAAGGGGGCTGTAGACTGCCTCAAAACTGAGCTTCAGGCTTCTCCTGAAGAAGCTTGCAAGACTGTGGCCTCGTTGCCTGAAAACATGAGCTCAGGTTCCAATTTTTCCAAATTTCTTTGGAGATAATGGTGTGGGCAACAATTCCTGGATATTTTTTATAGTTATCTTGTTTTGGAGAAGTTTTTACTCAGTTAAAAAGCAACTGTAGAAAGGACAAATGCTGTACAATTCCACTTATAGGAGGTATCTAGACTAGGTAAATTCATAGAGAAGGAAAGTAGAATAAAAGTTACCAGGGACTGTTGAAAGGGGGAAAGAGAAAGCTTTTGGTTAATGGGTACAGAGCTTCTGTTTGGAATAATGAAAAAGTTATGAAAATGGATGGATGTCATTATAATTTACATTTCAAACAATAGACATTGAGCAAAGCAGATTATTCTACATAATGTAGGTGGGTCTCATCTAGTCAGTTGAGGACCTTAAAAGCAGAGACTAAAGTTTTCTAAGGAGGCAAATCTGCTTCAAGATTGCAGTGTCCACTCCTGCTTGAGTTTCCAGCCTTCAGATTTCACACTCAAAATTACAGCATCAACTCTTCTCTGAATTTCTAGCCTGCCAACCTGCTCTACAAACTTTCTTGTTCCTTTTCTTGGGCTGTCCTTGTCCTCACTGGTATCAGCGTTAAGCCACACTTATAAAATATTGTACAATATTGTTAGTATAGTTAATGCCACTGAACTGTACACTTAAAAATGGTTAAAATGCTAAATTTTATGTTATGTGTATATTACCACGATAAAAAAATGCCTGAAAACTGAATAGGAAACAAGTATAGAGGAAGAAGGGAAAGCTCACTCTATGATTTAACAAACTAATTGAAGGAAAATGTAAAATTCTTGAAAAGGTTAACCATATTAAGAAATTAAGAGGGTCTAGAGTTATTCTGAAAAGATGCCAGCCTTCATAAAGAGTCATGGGGAGTAGCAAATGTGGCTACTGATAAGGAGCCATACAGATCCAGTTTTGTATTCTGTGGTAAAATGGATTTGATAGAAAAAAACTGAAAAGGAGGAATCTGGAAAAATGATTGCTGGAATTATAAGACAGACAAAAGCACTAGAATATAAATCAAAATCCATGTACTCACTTGGACTTTTTCATCTGGCAGCATATTCTGCAACATAGCTCTTCACCATAGGTCAGCTTCATCTGAGAGTAGATCTTTCACTCTTCTCCATTCAGAGTCTCTTCTTCACTCTCAGACTTTGTTCTTCTGCCTTGAATTAGTTAGGATTCTCCAGAGAAAAAGAACCAATAGGATATAAGTATAGAGAGAAAGATTTCTTTTAAAGAATTGGCTCAGACGATTGTGGGGCTGGCAAGTCTGGAATTTGTAGAGCAGGCTGGAAGCCTAGAAATTCAGAGAAGAGTTGATGTTGCAATTTTGCACATGCATTTTGCAGGCTGAAAATTCAGTAGACGCTGAAATTGAGTAGACACTGCAATCTTGAGACAGATTTGCCTCTTCTTTGGAAAACTTCAGTCTTTGCTTTCAAGGCCATCAACTGATTGGATGAGACTCATCCACATTATGGAGAATAATCTGCTTTACTCAAAGTCTATTGATTTAAATGTAGATTACGTTTTTAAAATATCGTCATAGCAACATCTAGACTGGTATTTGAGCAAACAACTGGGCACCATAGCCTAGCCAAGGTGACACATGAAATTAACATCACGTACCTCATTCTCCAGTTCATGGTTCTTTGTTGGTGGATCCAAGGGGATCTCTTCTCCCTCTTGCCTCTCCAGAAAGCATATATGGACCATTCCAGAATCCTCTCCAAAGAATTTTTCCCGAGCCTACCACATCCTTCAGCAGTAATGAGAAATATCCATCCACCAAAATGTTTGCCTCCATTTATTCTCCCATGTACTATTTCATTCCACTATCCACTATATCTTGATATACTGGGTTCTCTTCAGGGTTGATTCAATTTTCAATCAAACCTGCAACTGAACAAGAGATTTTTTTAAAATTTATTTCCAAAATAAATTTTGAATTGTTGCTCATTTTTAGTTTAGGAAATTGCTATTACTTAAGAGATTATATTTTTTCTTAAATGGAAGATTTATGGAATTATGATTCTTATGATAATGTTTCATAAATAAAGTTGATTTAAACTTTTTTTTTAATTTTGAGTTTACCTATCTCCCAGAAGAGTGCCTGGCATGTAATAGGAGCTCAATAAACATTTGCTGAATGAATCTGTTAATGTAGCCAGTTAGGAATAATTTTATTTTAGACTATTCTTGCATTATAAGATAAATTCTAACTCATTGTGATGCATTATTTTTTCAGAATACATCTAAATTAAATTTACTTATTGAGTGATTGATTCTTCCCTGTTTCTATATGGGATTGGGCCACTTTCTTTTCTTGTGCTGTCCTTGTCCTCAGTATCAGAGATAAGCCAGGCTTATAAAATGAATTGCATATCTTTCCATTTTATTTTGTGCTCTAGAATGGCTTGGGTAGCATAGGAATTCTCTGTTCCTTGACTACTGCAGGCCCCCACAACATCAGGGAATATGTCCCAAGACCCCCAAGTGGATACTTGAAACCACAGATAGTACCGAACCCTAAATATACTATCTTTTCCCCAATACATAACTATGATAATGTTTAATTTATAAATTAGGTACAGTAAGAGATTAATGACAATACAAATAAATAGAACAATTATGACAATCTACTGTAGTAAAAATGATGTGAATGTAGCATTAAGTAAAATTAGGGTTACTTGAACATGAGCACTGGGATACTGCAACAGTCTATCTGATAACCTAGACAGCTACTCAGTGACCGTAGTACATAAAGTGTGGACATGTTGGACAAAGGGATGAGTCACATCTCGGGCAGGATGCAAAGTAGGATGGCTTGAGATTTTATCACACTACTCAATTTAAAACTTTTTGCTTATTCATTATGAAAAGAATTTTTAGTCTACAGCCATGCCACCCTGAACAAGCCTGATCCCATCTGATCCCGGAAGCTAAGCAGGGTCAGGCCTGTTTAGTGCTTGGATGGGAGACCATCCAGGAAGACCAGGTGCTGTAGGTGTAAAAACTAAAAAAAATAAGAGACTGTAAGCTGACAAGTTCTTTGCAATCTGTGAGGTCAACCAAGGGTTGCCTCGCCTAAAAAAAATAATAATAATTGTTATTTCTGGAATTTTCTATCTAGTATTTTTCAGACTGCAGTTGACAGCAGGTAACTGAAACCACAAAAGTGAAACCACAGATAAGGGGTACTACTGTATCTGCAAATGTACCCTTTTCCATGCTTGAGTTATGTACAAAGAGAGACGTAAGACAAAGAAGTGGTCTGTGCAGGCCGAAATATCAACTTATTCTGATAAAAGCCACTGGAGAATTGGCTTAGCATGAAAGCCAAATGAGCTTACTAATACTGAACCACAGAATTATATAAACATAACCATCCAGGCCTAGTAGCACTGACTGGGGCAGGTCTCATCATATGGGTAGCATCTCACCCTGCAAGAAGTAGAACTTGTGCTTTCTGGGGCTGACTGGCTCCCAAAGAGGAAGAGAATGAAACCAAGTCAATCGTGCTCAGTTTATTATTTCAAATTCACCAATTGGATTAATTTCCTACTCCAAGAACACAGGAGATATACTAAATCGAGTTCCTTCACATGGAAGATGTAGTCATTTCCTGTTGCCACTGTAACAAATTACCACAAACACAGTTACTTAAAACAACACAAATTTATTCTCTAATAGTTCTGTAGGTCAGACGTCCGAAATTCATTTCACCAAGCTAAAGTCAAGGTGTTGGCAGCACTGGTTCCTTCTGGAGCCTCTAAGGGAGAATCTGCATCCTTGCCTTTTTCAGCTTCTAGTGGCCACCTGTATTTCTTGACTTCTGGCTCCTTCTTCCATCGCCAAGGCTCATCACTCCCATCACCACTTCTGTCTTCACCTCACCTCCTCCTGTGACTCTGACTCCTCCTGTGGCCCTCTTATAAGGACCTTTGTGATTATATCAGGCCAACTGGATAATCCAAGATAACCTCCCACCTCAGGATCCTTAACTTGATCACATTTACAAAGTCTTTTTTTTTTTTTGCCATGTAGGTAACATATTCATAGGTTCTGGGGATTAGGGTGTGCACATATTTGGGGAACCATTACTCAGCCTATCACAGAAAGTAATATCAAGAATTGGTTAAGAATGATTCCCACTGATATTCCCTTGATTCTTGTTTTCTTACACCAGTGATTTAGCCATTAAGCAGAGGTGTGTCTGACATCCTCGAAGAGGATCTCAGCAGCCTGTCAGAACAGTCCCACCCCATCTTCATGAGGCTACCCTTCCCTCTTATATCAACCAACTTTGTACTCACCCCAGGAACACTGGTAGGCAAGAAAAATTTGGCTCGTGAAAGGTCCTAAAATAGTTTCCTCTAATGCATTAATCAAATCATTCAATGCCATCTTGTAACCAAGGCTGAAATTACATTAATTTTCTTATTATTCACTTTTATTATGCCTATCCATATTGTCCACGTAGCGTATCAGAGAATCAGCACCGAGATTAAATGACAAAAGTACACTATTCCAATAATAATATGCACATTAAACTTCAATAACAAAATGCTAGTAATGTCCAAAAAAATTTTTAAAACATAAACCTCTTTCTTTTATCAAATATCTAGGCAGAAATTAATGTCCAAGAAATGAAATCAAAATCATGAGATATTACAGTTCAAAAAAACTAAAGTTCAAAATAAAATTATCTTGTTTTTGTGGGTTAGAATTCAAAGAAATTAAAGGTCAAAATTCATCTTCCCCAACTTCTTATTCTGCTTTGTCTCAGCTGGAGGGGATTTCCATGCCTGGGTAGAGTCTGAGATCTTTTAGCAACCACAGCTTAAGCCGTATCTCATGGAATGGGGACAGTTTCCACAGGAGTTCCAAGTTAGAAAATAATAATACCAGCAAGTCTGTAACATACTTTTTTTTTTTTTTGCTAAGGAGTCTATAGATTTAGAACATGTAAAATGATCCTAGCACTAGCTCTACACCCACCATATTTAGAAAGCAAGCCAATTCCTAGCAGATATCCCAAGCAAAATGCATACCAGAATTAGTACTTTGGGTTGCTAACAGTACTTTGGGTGGCCAAAAGCTATTGTAGAGACCGCAGCTTCACAAAGATGCCAGTTGACTGATACGAAGAGTCCAGAATCTGTGGCCGGTGAATTAAAACCCAGTTAGGAGAAAGCTAGCTACAGGTTAATTTCTGCACTATGGCACCTTGTATTTACCATTTCCAGGAAGCTCTACCTCTGAGTACTGTCTCCTCTCTCGGGCCAAGCATTTGAGGGGGTGTGGCCTTCCTGCAAAGTTTAGAAATGTGCAATGGCAATAGTCATCAGACCTTATTTGAGGGGCTGTTCTTTCCCACCCAGATATTCGAAACCTCTCCATTCCCATGTCCCCTTTGAACTTTTGGTGCCCGCAATGCAGTGCTGTGATGAAGGTGCGCTCTGTCTAGTAACAGAGCTCTCACAATAACTGGTGAGCATTATTACTCCTGAGCTGCGGTGGCTTTTTTTCACTGCCTCTTTCTGTGGAATTCCTTAGGTCTAGGAAAACCATCACCTGGGGAGGATTTCTCTATCATATTTAAATAACCAGTTTCAAGGACAAGCAGAGGAAATGATCCTTGAGCCATATGAATGCAAACTTCGTCCATCCACCCTGCCCTCGTTTACCCTTCAAGTAAGTTCAAAATAACTTAAAAGAGGAATTGAAATTAGGGCTGTTTGTTTACAATGCCCACCTACACCTAGGACTAGCACACTGAGAACTAATCTCTCACTAATGCTCTGTGGTCCAGAGAGAACCCAGCTGCCCCACAGTTTAAAAACAGCAAATATTTTTCCACTCCTTTAATATCTAAAAGGACAGTATATGAAAAGGCTATTTCTTTCTCCCTATAATTGAATCCTTGCCTCAGCTCTAACGGCTTATTAAGTCCTCTTCAGCCTGCTAGCCCCTGCTAAAGCCCTCTCATGGCCCCTGTGCCTGTGCCAAGGCCCTCTTAACAGCCTCTGAGTGGCTTTTCCAAGGTCTTTTTCCCCAGACTACAGCTGTTAAGAGCCAACTGCACTACCAAAAAAACCTACCTGGTTCAATATAAACCTACACAAATTCCCAAGATTGAAATGTCCTGTACACACACTAAAGAACAAGACTCCAAGGCCAAGGCCAATCCCTGCCACTCCAGAAACCTCAATCACTCCATGTGTATTCATCTGCTTCTCCCTAATTGTGCTCCTTATTTCTTACATATTAATTTTCTGGCCAAATGCATCAAGTGTTGGAACATTGAAGGGGCATCCAATAAAAAGCACCCTTCCTCCTTTTCTGAGCCCAAACAAATTAAGAAATAAGATTAAGGAATAGAAGAAGGCCAAATAATTAATGAATTCCTGATAAAGCTGGATTGCAGGATGCAATAATGAGTCAGAAGAATTTTCCAACACTAAGCTGCAGAATAAAATGCAACGATTCTCGTCCGAAGTCGACTTGCCTTGTTGGGGCTGAGAGAGTCAGCCTGCCCCTAGAGCAGACCTTGTACTGGCGAGATTCCAAAGAGGAAAGGGGACAGGAATGAGCTGAGCATGCTCATTTTATTTTCCCCAAATTTGCCAATTAAATCATGCCCTCCTCAGATCAGGGCAGAGTTAAGGAAGGGCAGAGAAAAAGCAGGTATTACTTGAATGTAACACCCTTCACCTGAAAGGTCAGTGTTTGTTTGTTTGTTTGTTTGTTTCAAGTA